TCTTCAGTAAGAACTTAATTGGACACCATTTTTCTTATTCTTAAAGTTAAATCCTTCGGTAATCAAATAGTCTCAAATTAAAATCCTGTTAAAGTACACTTGAACTTAAATAAAAGCAAGCTTTCTCTGATTGCTATACCTGTAGCAATTTGAAGTTTAATTTACGAAGTATTGGCCCCTTAAATTAATTATCATTTTAAACCGGTGCCTCAATATTTTTGCTACGGAAAAATCGATTTTCTCAAAGAATCCTGAAATGTCGTCAACGTCTTACGATATATCCTTACATAATGATAGATGAAGAAAAGGAGAGAGAGAGAGGAAGGGATTCTAACACCGATGACACTCGCGGGAGCTGTGACAGAGCTCCGGAGAACGTTCACCGTTCCGCGACAGCGACGGCGCGTCTTCTTCTTCTACTTCTCATCCGTCGTCTGCCTTTCCTTCGTCTTCTCACAACTCTATCCGTATTGCTGACGACGGGATTGCTGCTTGCGCCCCTGCGACGTCGGCCTCGGAACAGTTGCGAGGTGTACGGGGACGCCTGGCTCGATTGGACGCATCGCGGATCGTGACAATCCACCAGCCGCGAATCGCCGATCCATTTTCCGTGGCAGGTCGAATTGGTCGATCGGCCACGCCGATTGCCGCTACCGGCAATATCGGTCGATAGCTTCCACCTGCCGATGCCCACGTATTTGTCCAGACTCTCGTTACCGAGGCGCTCCACGCAAATCCGCGAACCTGCGGTGATTTTAATCGCTCACCGTTTTTGCTTTCCGGTCGACGGCATGTAATTTTAATTATATACGCTCGATATGACAAATTGTTTTTATCTCTTTAAACTCTTAACGTACGTTCTGACTCTTAATTCTTTTTTAATAATATAGCATAATCCTAAAAAAGTTTAATTAAAGTTAACGATTCTGTTGTGTGTTTATTCGGCAATTAAATATATTCTTCTTTTAATAACTGAATTTTTTTTAATGCAATAGAAACATGAAAAAAATACCAAAGCAATTTGGTTTGTTTTCTCTTAATTACAATAAGAAAGGCAAAATGGTTAAACCAAAATGCACAAGCTGTGGAAAACAAAATAGCAAATTTAACAGCGATGCGGAGATAATAAGTAAGCCATCGTCAAAATAACTTGCTTTTCGTCCGCAGATTTCCGCGTTTCGTGGCTTATCTGCTTTAGATATGTCGCCTGTAGGAAACAACCGTTATCTCCACTACCGCATCCACTACATCCGGTCGATTCCTTCGCGATAACAGCCGTCGTAGAGCAGCCGGGAATCGCGGGAGCTACGCTCTAATTTACATGACGTTACGTCGCGCAACCACGGTGCACGTTAATTGAGACTAGATCGAGTCGCTTCATTTCCACGTTGGCGGCGCGAATTTCATCATTATGCGAATTTCGTATTCAGAATTTGAGGAGTTTAGATTCCGTTAAAAGCGTCGTCTTATTACACGGTTCTATAAGTAAAAGATCCCCCCGTTTCTTTATCGGAGATGGCAAAATAAATATATGAGTAATTACTATCATAAACTAACAGAGTATTTACCGCCACTTTTTACGTTATTAAGTTACATTGGTAAAATATTCAACAGTTATGAAAAGTTGTAATATTATATTCTATTCCGTAAATTCGTATAAAGCATAATTACATTATACGTTTCAGTAAATATTTGAAATTATATCTTGGTCGCACGTAATAAAAGCTTTAATGAGAACAACTTTTTTAGAGGATTTGAGTGCCTTTTTTTAAACAACATACATATTTATTAACGTATAAACGCGCGATTTCTCGAGTTTCGTGTTTCGCGCGATGTAAATGTGAATATCAAAAAGTTAAAATTAATATTGCAAGTTCGAAACTCGCCGGGCACGCGGGCTAAGGAATTTTGCTTTTATCATATAACGTCAGACGGCTAAGAGAGAAGACTTTCGCGAAGCGATAATTTTTCGCTCGAAGCGTAATCCCGAGTTTTACATACCGCCACGGAGATGCGAACCGTTTTTCGCAAGAAGACAAGTCTATTGTCTCGTCGAAGCATTATGGTTACAAAAAACTTAAACGCGCGGGGCAAGGACTTAACCGCGGAAAAGAATGGCTGGTATGCGGAGCATCCGCCGTTGTTTTTCCTCCTCCTCGTTGCAATATACTCTGTTTTTATAAGCTCCGCAGTGTTTCACTAAGCATCTGATATTCATTCTTAACATGAAGATGTAGCTCAAAGTTTCTGATTTATTCAATGTTCCGAGAAGTCAATTACTTAAAATTTTATGATATTAAAAATATCACAATTTAAGATTTAAATGTGCTAACAAATAATAGTAATACAATACAAATGGTTTTAATTTATAAATTGGTAAGAAAAATCTGAGAATTAATAGAGAATTAAAAATATACGTCGAATGGAAAATTCTTCCTCAACCTTCATTAAAGAAAGGAACTAATTTTAACTACTGTAAGAAATTCAGAGGAAGAGGAAGAGGAAGGTCACGATATCTAAAGCATTCAGCATATTCTTCGTATTTGGATCTTCGACCTCGATAATGAAAATAGCGTCCCGTTAAATAAAACTCCTATTTCCAATTAAGATTAAGATCGGCTTTTGCGACACGAGCGTACTATTACTTATACGAACCTTCCGAGAGCAAATCCGAAATCTTGCTGCAACCCCGCGAGATCCGCAAAACGGTGAAAGCAACGCAGCTGCCTCTGAAACGTGTGTAATATCGGTTTTTATACTTTTAAATATCGTAAAGCCTGGAATAAAACGCGCACGTTCCGCGGCATGTTTTCTCGTTAGCCACTGTACTATAACACTATATATGACGGCAGGAGGACCCAAAGGGTTCCGTTGCTGTCGGCCTTGTAGCTTGCTTTACTCGCTCGACACAACGTCACAGGGGAGTCTCGATACTGTGACGCGATGTTTGCTGTGTTTTGTAACAGGTCGGAGCACGTGTCAAATTAGATCTTCGACACATCGGCGATTCTGTCTTGGTTACAGCGGCGCGTGGGGATTAAAAATATATCCCCCGGGAGGTATCCCTCACTAAGCGGAGAAAGCTTTTAATGGAATTGAATCGTGATGCTTGATCGCGCGTTCGGGGTAACGAACTTTGAAAATTAAGGACGTCAACTCATCAGTTACGCGCGAACGCTCGCGCGCCATTAATAATGCATACAAAACGCGATTGAAGATTATTAATTGTGCCATTCGACGGCGCAATATGACGGCGTGAAATAAGGGAAAATGTGTTACACGTTAAACACATTAACGGACATCGTATTCTGTAGCAAATGATATATGGAAGTCTATCGCATCGTGTAATTTATCTAATTGAGTTGTCTGAGTGAGCTCAAAGACTAAAAAGATAAACTCTCTATATCGATAAACGATGTACTGAGAAATAAAATACTTGAAAATTTATTTGTAGGGTTTATTTCTGTGAAATAAACTTTATATTCCACAAATAAATTTTTAAGTATTTTTTTCTCCGTGCAGATTCTAGCGACATTTATCACGCGAAACAATTTTGCGCTTTAAATTTTCCTCGGATCTGTCCTTGTTTCATCTATTTTCCTGCTGGCTCAATCGAGAAAACGGAAAAGTCGTTGTTTCCGTAGCGCGAATTGGGAACATGTGCGGCAAATCGCATTTCGTACGAAGACTAAGCGCGGGGGCTTGACCTACCTCTTATCGACGATCCTATCCTTGATCCTTACATCTGTACTGTTGCCGTCGCCCGGAAAAAGCGCAAGAAGCGTCACACCTGCGGCAAATGAAAGGAAATCGTATAGGATCAAGCAATGGTAGACAGACGTCAAGAATTTCGCATCGCGGTAGATACATCCGAAGATAATCCGGTTCCTTACTCTCTAGTTCGGAGAACGCTTGGGAAATATTGGACCATTACGTTTTCAGAGAAACTAGGAAAAACGCAAGGAAAAATATAAAAAGAATAATATTTCTTCTTTTACGTCAATCTTCTCTTATATATAAGATGCAATTTAATCCTAATTATAATCACGCGATAATTATCGCGAGTAATAATTATTGCAAGAAAAATTGTTGTCTGATTATGCATTTTAATGATCATTTAAATGTGTGTGTGTGTGTGTGTGTGCATGTGTGTGTGTGTGTGTGTGTGTGTGCGTGTGTGTGAGAAAGAGAGAATAAGTGTGACCTCGTCCGATTAATTAAATTGAACGGGTCTAAGTAATGAATTCCTCGTATGAAAATATTTCGCTTAAGGTAAAATGCGACTATCTCCCGACTTATCTCTGAGATCGATCGACGCTCACTTTTAGCGTGCGGCTGCGAGCGAATCCCGGCGTGGCATGTCTGGAAGCTGCGGCACGTCCTGACCTGATCCAGACGCGGACAGTGCTTTCCGCCGTTCTTTTCCGAGATCTCGATCACCCGGCTGCGCCTTTGAGTACCACTTCCGCATCCGTTATCGCATAGGGTCCACGGGCTCCATTCGCTCACCGCGCAGTCGACCACTGTAAGGAGGGAATGAACGCGACGTTAAGATTTGACCGTCTGCAGGTCGTTTCTCGCAGACCAACGATAAAATTGTCCCGAAAGTGCCGCGCTGGTAAAACCCAATCGACAAATCGATAACGGGACGTTCTTCGATCTCCTATCATTTTGGTCCTTCACCTTCCATTCTTACCTAACACTGACAACGCGACTGTAATATTTTTTAATTAGGATACATAACTTTCCACGATAAAATGTTAGAGCTAGAGTACGAGACATGCACAGAAAGGATCTCAAGCGCGTTACTTTTCCCGATATTTCACGCTCCACGTAAAAGACAACTCGCAGAAATGGCGATTTACCAGCGTCCCTCTGAAACGCATTTCGCCTTGTTACTTTGCTGTATCGCCAGGAGAATGAAGAGACAATTTGAGATGAGTAAAAATGCGATAAACGCTTCGGCAATCACCGATGTTCCTGTCCATTAAGGAGCGCGTAGAACGCGAAGGGTGGAAATTCATTTAACGCGCTGCTGCCCCATTTTGCGCGAGATGCATTGAGAGAACAAGTATCGCGACATTTAAAAAAAATGGAACGATCGACGTCAACGGCGTTAATTAAACGGCTAGAGAGCGTTTTAAATAAAATATCGAGCAGTAATTATTTTGCGCGCCGAAATTTTAACGGCTAGAGAGAGTCTGGCAATTAACCGAGAGATATCTTGTTTTCTGTGTTAGACAATACAATTTATTCCACACTTCTAGGATGTTTCTTTCGTACTAGATGTTTCATTACGCAAGATGTCTTGTTACACAAGTTGAAAAACCAATTAGAGAAAAGTATTTATATAAACGACACTTTGCTCCTTCATCTTTAAAATAGAGAGAAGAAGTTCGCATTGGAAAGACTGAAATGTATCAAAGCTGAGTGAAATAGGGCGCATAATGAGAATATGAAAATGGCACGTCACGCGAATTAATAAAATTAAATTAAATACTTCGTATAATTTTATACTCGCATTTTATCGCAAATGGCGTATAATTAAATGACGTACGTTATACCCTATTAATGTAATTATTGTAATCGCAACAATTTGTACTTCTCGCACGCACATATTGATACATTAATATAATTATTAGCATTTTCAATTTTCGCGTGTAACGATCTCATTCCTCGTTTTCCAATCAGCGATAATTTAAAGATTTATTGGTCGGACGAAACACTGTCACAAAATATGGGAGGAATATTTCATAGGCGACGGACCGGTCACGGCTTCAGCCGCAGCTGCGGGATAAAATTCAAGCTACATTTTGCATTAGGCTGTCGGGGAGTGGTGAGAACTGCGGTGCAGATGTATAACTACTTGTTTATCGCTTCTTTTATGGTTATACCTACGGTGTTTATAGTTCCTGTCGAGCACGATCGCTACCGGGACCTATATAGTCGTCGATCGATTGTACGTTCGAACTGAATTATTTCGTATACGCCCGCCGCGCCGGTCCGGCGAATGCGAATGGTCGAATGACATACGCGATATTGGAGATTCACTCAGCAATATGGGGAAAATAATGCACCGTCACTGGTCCGTAACGATCAATATAAGAAAATATGTCACATGTGGTATGTCCAGTCACCAGAACTTATATGCGCTCTTACGCGAAGAAAATATTTTATGTGCATTCGACTTTCTCCCCGCGTTATCTCGGAAGACAAATTCGCAAAGTTACTGTCGAAGTATCATTAACCAAGGTGAAACGTTTAGCATGATCATTTTTCGTTTCCCAGCCTCTCCCCTGGTTTGTTACGCCTAAAATATTTCGCGCTGCTTTTGTAGAATGAGTTTTGGTACCATCTTTTCTTGACGCGTTAAAAAATGATAAAGAGGCTGATGTTATAAATTCGCGTCGAGAACAGATCGCGGACGCTCGGGTATTCCTTTCGCAAGGGTGCAATCTTTACATTTCATTAGGCGTGGATGCCAGGAACGGAAATCGGCTGCAGTGTAAGTACGTCTCTCACGATTTTCTCGTCACGATCCCGTTACAAAATATATGTAAATTCGCGTCTCGTTTCGATTCGAGCCTACGACGGGGGATGGGATTATCCCGCTTCCAAACGGACGGCTTTGCGTCACTCGTGAAGCGGTTTCAGCCGCAGCTACTGCCGCGTTACATCTTCAACTCGGAAAGGAGCGGCACTTCTCTTCGGCCGGCAAGCGTAAATAATCGCGTTTCGGTGCAGCTTTAGCTTCGGCAAATGCTGAATTCGTCGCAGCTTCACAAATCGCAGAAATTAGGGCATTAAAGATGAACATTCCGACGCGACGAGATGAAAGTGCAGTCGGACGCGATAAAATCACCGCCATCTTCGGCGGGCGCTCTCGCGCGCGTCTATACTTTATACGAGAGACATTTCACCCTTTATAATTGATCTGCAGCAAACAATAGGCGCATAAACGTGGATTGTATTTGACGTCGTTACTATTGTTTAACGAACAATTTAATCGTATGCCTGTCGATTATCTGATAATTAAACCGGTAAAACAGGAGCCACGTTAAACGAACGGAAATGTGAATCGAATAACATTAATCCCTTTGCTATTAACAGGCACGTCGTTCGGCGAGCCATAAAATTTCGAACAACTGTGCACCAACGTAGAATTAACTCGACCATCTATTATGTAAATGCGGGCAGTAAAAATGTGATATATATTATAAAATATAAACCTCGACAGTATTTGTTGTTATAGTGACACTATGATATAACAGCGATTAAATAATAAAATATCATTGAATTTATAAAAGTGTTAAACTTATTCTTTTTCAGCTATATTCTAATGTTTAATGCAAAGAAATTCGAATCTGTACAGTTGAAAACATTAGCGACCGCGTTTTCGCAAAAGTTTCGGAAAACTTGATAATATCATTATCTTCACATTATGCCATAAATCTGCGGAATATGAACAGAGGGATTCAGTCTATAAATTGCGAAGTACATTTACGAAGATTACTCTTTACTTTTATGCTTTGGTAAAGCTGATCTCTCGGTCGGCGTTATCATCTTTACTTAGGCAACATAGCGGCAATAAGTCTTCCGATCTTTGCGTGAGATGGTTCCCTACAGACCATTTCCTCATTCACATATACACGCACAGAGCACTGTGCATATATCCTTTTAATTACCTAAATTTGTTTGTTTTTTTTTTTATTCAGCTACTATCTGATATTAAAAAATTAATGAACAAATAACTTCTACGATAAAATTTAATTTTATTAATAAATTTTTTTTGTTATATATATTTTTAGACACTATATACTGAAAGATTAATCAGTGTTTGATGATACACCGAATACACGACGCAATCATTCGAAGCGTTTTGATCGTCGAGAGCACGTCGGTTTCTATTAAATACAATATATCAATATATCATGTCAGATTGATAATTGTTCGGTATTTGATTAAATTCTCGCGAAACATACAGCATTGCGTTGATACTGATGGAACGCAGCATCAGCATTTTTTTTGAGCGGTCATGTGTGGTTGCTTTGATCGAAATTGGAAGTGGATATTGGTTTTAAGGGCATCGTAGAGAAAAACGAATCACATATCGCACACTGTTGATACGTCGATGTGAAGAATGAAAAATAATGGACCCTGTCCTGACAAAAAGGTTTCGCGCGCAAAAAATTTTTCAATAAAATTCTCCTTCGATGACGCAATTGCTAATATTAAAAACTTTACAGCTGACAGAGTAAAGGCTGGTTTATGCAAGCCGTAACCGTTGATTTAAGCCGTAAGTCCTAAGAAATTGATCAATCACAGTCGATTATTCTTCTCATATGACCAGCATAAATCAGCCTTAACTCAATTACTCCAAGGAGACACACAGTTCGTCCGGATGACGAACTGTGTCCTAAGATACTAAAGCAAGTACGTTACTTATAGAACACGTCCTTAATCCAGTAATCCTACAAAATCTGAGACATGTTGAGTGTGCGTATATATATATGTGTGTATTTAAGCGTGTGCTTAGCGTGAATAAGAAGAGGCGGACCGTCGCGTCGTCTATTAATTAATCAATACTCCGTGCGATTTTCTTTTAAGAATGGATTATATCTTCGACGTTCCCAAGTTTGATTAATTGATGTATATCGGCATCTCTTATTTCACACTTTAATTTTACCAGGTTCTATTTGAAATAATTATCTTTGTTCTATATTTATTTCGTAATTGATTGATTTGATTCTAATTATAGAAATGTTAATTATAGTTATATTATATATTATAGTTACACCAGCAATAAATATCTTATGTTAAAAATAGCAATAACATTTGTTATAAAATTTTCTCTTACTCGCAATTAACGATTATGAAAAAAAAAATTATGACATTTACGATTCTACTTTTTGCGGAAAAAAATACAACGTGTCAATTTTTATTTCAAATGAATATGGAAAATTAAATCAAGCTAAAAATGAGTTTCTGACCGAATGCTTATAAAAAAAAATGGAAAAATATTCGGTCATTTTCAAATCGGTTTAAAAAAGAAAATAATAGTCTACGTTAAAATAATATTTTTTTCATAATAGATTAATTATCGTCCAACGTCGTCCATCTTCTTTTCAATATCGCTCGTCGTCACCCACAAAGCCCTTCGTGCAAAATCGCCGATGCACATACCGCCGCAGGTCTCTTTGAAGTCGTCGCAGCAATCGGCGAGCTTGAGACATGCGTGGTCGCAGTAGCACGGCTTGTCGCGCGGACTCTCGATAATCGCGTTCGGCGACTCCTTCTGAATCACGCAGCCCGAATCCCTGCCCTGGCAGCAGAGCTTCGCGGAGCTGCAGCTGCCGGCGGCGGTCCCGTCAACGGTCAGGGAAATCAGCGTGGCGACGACGATCAGCCTGGCCAGCCTGGTCGCGTCCTTCCTCCACATTCTCCTCGCGATTCCGCGACCCTGATGACCTTGCTCTCACCGCCACCGCCGGGCCACCACGACGACCTTGGGTTTGTTGGTGCCGCCGATAGTCGTGGAAACGTCACGCACGTGCCGTGACGATGACGATTCACGCACGTTACTTTACAGCGACTCGTCGCGCGCGCGATCGATCGTCGACATATCGATCTACCGGCCTTGCGTTTCAATAGTTTATCGGTTTCTAGTCTTTCCGAGAGAAGAGCTCTTCAGTTTTAGCGGAGTTCATGCTTGAAACCACAGTTCGTAGTTTAATGTTTCCGGTGTTGACATTAGTTGACCATTAATTTGCGCAATTTTGCGAGAGCGCACTTTACATTTGCATAGTTTAAAAGAAAATCTTTTTTGTATTTTTTTTTTTCCCAACACAATCTCTTAACAGAAATACAAGATAATTGTCGTCTCTCAATCAGTAAGGGAACTTTAATGTTTCTTTTATATATATTTCCGCATTAATTAAAACGTTTAATTAACTACGTTTTAATATTTTAATAATATTATTATTTTCTGCTACCGCGTTACATTTATTTTCGCGGATGTTAAAAGAAGAAAAATAAGGAACGTCTACGAGAGCCACTCTGCGACACGCATAGGTAGGATTTTTCGCGGACCACCACCACGAGCGAAACTCTGCACGTGCTCGACCCTTCGGCGAAGGGTGTCGCAATCCAACTGAGCCGAGTTTCAACCCCGCGAGCGCGAGAAGAGCGTAACTAGGCGCGCGCTACGTTGCGCCTTCGCCGACCCGTCGTCCTTGCTTTTCGTACTCTCGGCGCACCTCCCACGGGAAACGGCAGCAGCCGGCACCTGGCCGGGCGCATGCCTCGTCTGTTCTCACGGGACGCCACGATTTAGTGCCTGCAGCTTTTAATGGAATTTAAAGGGCAACAATTCGTACCGCGTACCACGATAACGTATACGGCCCCCCCGGAACCGTCAGTATGTCTTATTCTGCGTTCACTCGATAGAAAAACGGTTTGTTCTTAGCGATAATGTCGAAAAAGATCGGTCTCGCTGATGAAACTTATTTATCTTTAACGTTTATAGAAACATCGAATTCGCTATCAGCTGCAGCTTTGGTCTATTTCAAAAAGACACCTCGCATGTGCGAGCGCGATAATATCTGACGTGTTGTTCGTTTATCGATGTTATTTCATGATGTGGAGTTTGAATGAATACTATTGTTGTCGAAAAATGTGAAAAATTGGGGAGTAAATTTCATCACGTTCACTAGTATTCATTTAGACTTTTAGACAGAGAATGTTGCAAAATGGAAACGCATATTAAAAAATTTAATACAAATAATATATATGATATATAATATACAAATATTTAAAGTATATTTAATAATACAATTATAGTTATTAAAATATATTTTAATCACTATGATTGGCACTAATACTATTAAAATATATTTATTTTATAGCGATAATAATGTTATACATATATATGCAAGAGAAAAAATATTGATCATATTCTATTTTTAAACTTATATACATATATTTATCATATTTTTTGCATTAAAAAGCCTGATTCTGTAAAAGAAATTTAAAGATATATAAAAAGGAGAATACAAAATTACTTTAATACTAGTATATTCAAGTATCAGAAACATGCGAGAATAAAAGAGGTTGACATAGCTTTAATAAAAATCACAACTTTCTTCTATAGAACTATAGAAGTAGAGGAAAATTCTCTCTTATGTCTAAGGCTACGGTCAACGTGACGCTACAAATGCTTCGAAGCATTCCTCTTCTCTTTTCTTTCAATGAAGAAAGAAAGAGAAGAAGAACGCTCCAAAGCATTTGTAGCGTCACGTTGACCGTAGCCTAAGTCTTTTACCAAGATTTAGGAGAAATATTTTTTTCTCCGATTATTTTGCCTCACTTGTGACAATATTGTCCCTAAAGAATTATTTCTGTTTGCATTCTATTATCGCCGGGATAGCGCGAACGCAGTCCCGACTATCAAAAATTGTACGCCCGAGATATCCACATTAGGGATATTCGCAAGGGTCAGCTCAACCGTGGTGCAATGGAAGAGCCTCGCCCTGGAGGAACCGCCTTCATGATCACGGTAACCTCTGCGCCAGGTAAGTATGCTTTCAGTCGCGACGGCCTCTAATTTATCTCCGTCGATGTTGCATTTTAAACACGAGTAACGGATCCATGCCTGCGGAGCCAAGCGGCGAGTTGGCGAACTATGTATAGCGCGATATACACAGCGATTGCGAGCGCGTCACTTACTCTTCAGCGTCGTACTTCGCAACGTTGCCCGTTGGGAGAGATTAATTTTTCATATTCGAAAATTTTTTTTTTTATTCTTAAATGTATGTAATTGTATGTTTTGTATATATATATGTATACTAATTTAAAGCGTGAAATCGATGAAAAGTTATTAATTATCAAACAAACGCAAATGCGTACATTAGAGAAAAATTAATTTGCAGCTTTTTGCAGACAGGAAACACATTATATTTACATTATTGCGATTAACTTAATTAGTTCATATTATAATTATATAATATGAACTAATAAGACCTGTATAATATAATTATACAGGTCTTATTAAAATTTTCTTATTTACAATAGGGACACGGACAAAATGAAGAATATAGAATATAAAATGAAGAAGCAAGTGGAAATTCTCATAGTACTTATTATTAGTAGCGAGTCATTGATTAAAGCTACGCTGGTAGATGCATTCGTGTTTAATAAAGGTCTGAGAGATGGCATCCAGAATGGCTAATATATATGCGAAAGAAGAGAGTAACGGGCGAACTAAGGTTAAAAAGCCACTCACGCCTTAGAATGCAGTCTGTATTAAGCAATGAAAGTTTGGTACAGATATTGCGAAAGTTTGCCGCGTGTTCTATAATTGCGCGCCATTGCCAAGAGCATAATCTCCTCATCTCTCCGTCTCTCCCTCCTCTTTCTCAGCTTGTTTCTTGTTTCTCATTATCCGACCTTAGGCACGTGCTCGGGTCGACGAGGAAAGTCGTTCCAGTTCTGTATGAATGCATAAAAACTTTCCGATGGTTATTTAACCACGAATCACGATTCACGATGCTAATAAATGCCGGTGCTAAAAAAATATTCCTTAACCGACTGCGAATTTCGTACGTTTTATTCTGGGCCACAGTAGAATTTTCATTTTCATGATCATGTAATGATATTGATAAAATATTAAGTAATATGATTAACTAAGATTAAAAAATATCCTTATTGATTGTTACTTTACACTGTTATCCAGTTATTAAAATTGTTATTCAAATTTATTATGATCTAGTAACATTTATTTTTTTTATTGATAAAATTCTTTTACAACATAATTATTTAATAATTATTTTATGCTACACTTTATATTATCGATGTCATCTTACAGCAAATTATAAACCTCCGTCGATGCACGAAAAAAAAAAGAACATTTCGTCGATTTCGGGCTTTCGAAGCGGAGCGGAAATGCATTCCCGGGTGTGGTTTATCGTTGCAATATTCCGGCGATGGTGGGGGAGAGCTGATATTCGTAGATGCGTCTCGAGAGTCTTCAAGAGAGCTTCTCGAACTCGAAGCTTTCGGCAACGAAGTTTTCGCATTGGTGCTCAACAAGTAACGAACGGGAATTTTTTTTTTTTTTTTTTTTTTTTTTTGCGAGGCGAAGAGAAGTCCCAAGTGGGCGCGGAACGACCGAACGAATTGGATTCCCCGGGGGTCTTGATATCGGAGTGCGGTCGGGAACGTTGATTAATCGCGGGTGCAAACAACGTGTGTAACGTTGTTACGTTGCCCGATATCCCTTTTCCGCCGGCGAAGAGATGGAGCGCGCGCCCTGGAAGACGACAATTAATTTTCCCAATTCCGTCGGCCGCGCCGCGATGTTCGCCAGCTGTGCCGACATTAATAAGAGAAGACATACGTATCGCCGTGAATAGCGGAAAGCCGATGTACATTGAGGCTTCCTTCCGTTCGTTCACCTCAGCTCGTTAAAAGGCGTTGTGTCATAAGAATGCAAACGTATAATTGTATCTTCAAAATTAGTAAAGAGATTTAAAGGAGACTTCTCGAACAAGAAAGACGTTTGAAAGCGCGTGTGTGTTGATTAAAATTTAAATTAAAATGATTAATTATTTTAGACTTATTTCAGATTTTATTTTATTTTTTTATTATCGAACAATGCTTACGTTATCAAGGTATGTTGTAGAGAATTTAATGACATTCTTTGTGAATATTTTAAACATATTGTTTATAATATACGTATATATTTTTTAATTTTACTTTACATGTGTATATTATTATTGCATGTATATTTTAGATCTTTTAATATTCGAAGATAAATATACTGAAAAATGATGGAAATACAGACAGTATTGTTAGAGCGTTAATTTTAATGCAACGATTATCAAATATCCTGGAAATTTCCTGTTTTTTTTTTTTTCGGGTCAAATTCTGCAGAGAGTCACAATTTTATTTTAAACGTAATTTTACGCTGTAGGAAATTGAATCAGTTTTACGGTCAGTGGTAGCAAAATCCAGTCGGTTCGCGAGCAAATTGACACGTTGGCGGGAGTGCGAGCGCACTTTCGAAAGTCGGCCGCGAAAGGGCACACGCGAAACTCGATTCGCCCGTAGAGCAGAATAGACGCTATAATAGCGCTAATATACAAGTAACGAGAAAATCCAATTTGCTCGCTGTCGGAGCTATCGGTCGGAGACCGCGAGGCAGAGTTTTCAGAGCGGACATTAACGTCGCTCCGCGAACGAAGGGGACACTCTACGAGCATCAATTCAAACTCGCGTTCCTCATAATTGCCGGCAAAATAATCGGATCCTCTCGTTTTCCCGCCTTGCTTGTTCTTGAAACGTATATCCGAGATAGATTGCATCAAGCGTCCGCGCGTTATTCTATCTCGGATACTCGCAACTCGCGCGTTCGCGTAAAAGAGTCACGGTGCGGTCTCGCTTCGCGCGTACTTGGCGCGAGACACCGTGTCTCTTGATACATATTGCGTAAAAGCTGCGGAATGGGTGCCACTTGCCGCTTCTGATAAGCCGAAGACAGCGAGTTAGTTTGATAAGACTTATCGCGCGGTATATAATTGTTCCGTATCATCGACGAATTATTATCACGAAATTATAGCCGTAAATATAGATAAATTTCCATATCAGAATTAATTGGAGAACATTTTGACGTGATCAAGTACCGATGGTTCGAGCAATTCAAATATCATCGATAATTAAAATGATCATAAAATTAAGGCAATGTGTAATAGGCAGAGAAACAAATTATTTTACAAAACATTTACAAACCAGGGAAAAAAATTTTATATGTAATTATATGTATATAAAATTATTTGTTTATTTTCCTTCTTGTTATTTTTCTTATATATGCAAACAGAGATTATAAAAAAAAAAGAAAACATATATATGGACATACTTAAATTTATACACACAATTACATATGAACAATTTTTTCGCGCATTTTTACTTTATTTATTTTATAAAAAGAGGTATGGCGCATGAAGAATGTATGGTCTTTTTTCTAGTTACAAATTATTGTAAAAAGAACTATATAAATATAAATAAATAGGGAAACACATTATTTTTGTGGCATATTTATTTTATTTATCTTATTTAATCTATTTTTATTTTGTCAGGAACGGGGATTCTTTCTTTCCTTGCTGCAAATCATCGCGAGCGATTTCTTAATCGAGCCGTACAACTTTGTTCGTTCGCGGATGCCGGGTGGTGCCGGGCGATCCCGGTGACGATCCTGCACATACATATGGCCGTCGCCGCCGTCGGCGACTGTTGACGACAGCCATTGCTCGGACCTGTCATACGCACGCCGCCCGTCGTTGATCCAATTTAACGACGACGTTTCCAGCGAAACGATCGCGCACGTTTCACACGGATAACGATTCAGCATGGGTAATTGTTGCGGCTCCTGTTACAAGGGATCGTCGTCGTACGAGGATCTCACTCCCGATCGGGTGCGTCTCCCCGCGTAGGTTATAAACGCGCACGTAAATATTAATCTCCTCCGCCCGTGCGATAAAAAAATCATTAAACCGTCGTGACACGCTTGGCGAACGACGGACACTTCTTTTCCCAGCTTCCGTCTCTCCCCGAGACGAATCCTGGTTGTCTGTCACTCGATAATTATTTCCCCGTATCTCTGCTTTTCTGTCGCTCCATTTTTTTTTACACACGTTGCTCTCTTGCCCGTTCAGGAAACAATACGTAGAAAACAGGCGGAGGCAGCTGAGAAGAGGATAGCCGAGCAACAGCAACGGGGCATAAAGGATATAGAGTCTGTCAAGAGGCAACAGCGACGGGCGTTGGAACTCGAGAAGCGAGAACAGGAAGCCGCTGCCAGCGGCACGCAGCCTACGCTACGAGTAAGAATGGATAATTGTGCAGTTTCGTCGTTTAAAATATGCGTTTGAATAAGACTTCATAGAGCTTGATGTATCCATTTCAGTGGCAGGTGCAATAAGAGAGAACAACATGCCGTGGCTCAATGGGATTGAGCTCTGTATTTTCTCATTTGGGAGGTATTAAGTATTTTACACTTGGCCAAAATGGGGCAGACCTAACGTCACCAACGATGCTGCTATAGTCACACAAGTGCAATCTTATTTTGTATTATTTACACATAATTATGGGAATAAGCTTTGAGTTTTTTAATTTAACGAAATACATCAGCTGAAATCGAACGACCGATACCGAGGTTCGTTTTCAGCTGACGTGTATTTTTTATCATATTTTGTATATGTATAAGTTTATATATGTATATATACACGATTGTGCATGCTCTAAAATATGACTGACACTGTTGCAAACGTTAAAATTTTGCTTCTGCTTCAATTTACTAAATGATTAGTTCTTTATTTTCCAATCGGTTATAAAATATACATATAAATGTATTACATTTATATATGTTTTCAGAGAGTTAAAGTTGTAAACATAAATTTTAGATGACGAATGAGAACAGCTGAGAGCAAAAAGATATCCTTATGCATTGTTAATCTTTCTTCAATAAAAATGAACTTTTGTGATTGCGAGCTTCAGATTTAGAATATATATATGTGCCTACACTTAAAAAAATGTATATCGAGAAATAAGACTAAAAAAGCGTATCGTTTGTCATATAATCTCTTATATATGCAAGTTTGTATCTATTGAAATATACAAATTTCATATTTGTAATGTTCAATAATTGTGTGATATAAAAGAAATTTGAATTAAACTCTGATAATATATTTATATCTATATATATATAATATTGTATGTATAATATATATAATATATTTGAGTAATACAAAATATACACTTATTATTAGTATTATTATATTATTACAGTTTATGTTATATATTGTATTATAAAATAGCAATACGTGTGTAAATGTACAAATGTAATATATCAGAAATTATAAATGAACGAAGTGGTATTTTAATATATCTCTTATTGATATCTCAATGTATTGTTTTGTATTAAATTTTGCAAATATTAAAAAATCTATAATATACATAAATTAGGACTTAACATACGTATATATATATATCTCTATATATATCTCTCTCTTTAATTTATCTTGTAAAATTTTGTCGAAAATTATATTTTGAATAATGAATTCTCATTAATGTAATCATACAAAAAAACTGAGATGAACGTCATATGGAATGCTATTAAAGTCTTAATACATGTTGCTGGATTTGATATTAAGAATAGACAAGGATAGCACGCTACATTGCACGCACACATACGAACGATGCACACCGACATTATACTTTTATATTACGCTTCCAAATCTTGATTTGGGGGGTTTATCGATGTTTTTCTTGTTGTGCAATTCGGGGAAACTTGTTTTCGCGTTCGTACCAATGGTATATCTCTTATATGAAATACATCTTGTGACGAGCTGACAGCTCGCCGCAACTCGAGACGCCATATTGGGATAAGAGTAGGATAAGGAAATCTGTACTTCCGTAATTTTTTCTCGTTTTCTATATAAAATCGGAGTTTCCCCGAATCATTAATGTATGTACTGCAATTCTGGAGAAGGATTTTTAATTCTGTCAAATTAATACGACGCTACGTGCCGACAAAAAATGCCGGTAAAACAGACGGCTCCAGCATCCCCTTAATAAGGATTTTTATCCACTCCTCATTAATGCGATGAACGCTGACGGAATTCGCGTTCTCGAAATTAAATTCTATTCCGAGAAACGAGTGAAGAGAAGATCTTGTGATTTTATGAATGAGTGTTAAATAGATACACAACTGCAGCATCTCATTTTCTTTAGCTCTCATATTTTCCCTATCCGATGAACCGACCAAGAACGGAACAACTTTTTTGACGACTTATTCTTAAGCTCTTTTCCGTGAGCGATTTGTACTTCCAGTGATGCGCCGTTATTCAGCGCCAACCACGTGTGAATTTCGTCGCTAGCTGCAGATACACCTATGCATTCAAACGAATATCATATAATATGCGCAAACACATGAACAATGACAACTTAAAGATTGTATAAAAGATATTAATTAAGATATTAATTAAATTATGTATAAAAGATATTAAAATATATGTATATACTTATATAAAACTGTACTATAATTAAAATAAAAAAAAATTATATGAGGTCAATTTGTATGTACTATATATAATTAATTATATGTTTTATATATAATATATATCATAATTATATTTTAACGTAATTATCTTATTCTCATACTTGAGAGTACTTAAAATGTCATACCTAGCAATTCGTGTAGAGTTATACGTCGACTGGCCAGCAGCTCCTTGCTGGCGCTCCTGATCTCAAATAGCAGTAACGCCTGCCTCGGTACACCGTCGCCGTCTATATGGAAATCTATGCTGAACTGAGGATTAGGCATAGCTGGCAGGAGTCGTGATTTCGCGATGGTCTTACCGCCGTTAGGCGAGACAATCTTATCCGGACTGGTGCTCCTGGAAATCTTCAATTTAATCACCTGCGAACCATTGTCGTCATCATTAATTACTTAACAACTTACGTTTGAAGCTTTACTCGGCAGTACAATTGGGCGATGTGCGCTACGTGGAGACCTTGCGCTTGAAGAACCTTCCCTTCCACTCCAGAATACTTCTCTCTAGTGCCATTGACAATTTTTAAATCTGAAAATCCAACAATTCTCTTTTACTTTATGTTTCAGCATTAAATTCGAGAGCTCTAGTCGTTTTTCTTTAAAAAAGGACCAAAAATTTAAAAAAGGGACTACATAATGTTTTTATCTTATCTTTTCGGTTTTACTGTTTCAGGTTGCATTAATAAGTGTGTATTAATAAATTGCAACTGTAAACAAAGTGCATTAATAAGAGTGACAAAGATCTGGGGTGAAAATATCTGCATGGTTATATACATTAAAATATCACGTATGATGATATCGACTAACCATTCGGCCTCAATCTTAATCGCGGACTGGGCTGCCGTATTCTACCCAGCATGTCTGGTTGCGACACCGCGTGAGCTAGACCGGATTCCGAAAGAAGCTCCGTGGCGTCGGCCTCCCCGCCGCCTCTGGGTTCCAGGCTCAACGTGATACCCTTGTTATCGTTCTTATCCTCTATAGTCACTTCCGAACGGAATCTACGAAGTTTTAAACCCCTCTTCACCTACAATTACACGAAATAGCTCAAAGCTGACGTTTCGATCATTGGATAACTCGACGCGTTTACCTTTTGCTTCATCATGCGGAAACTATTGTACTGCGGTAACTTTTTGCCGAAGCTCTGTTCGGGGCTGGGGGTCAAGCTGTGATGAGAGGCCCGTCTCTCTGCGATCACTTTGGCGGCGTCGGCCTCGTCAATGGAATTACTCGCAACCGACTCCGTGATGACTTTCGGAATCCAGAAACTTGGCGTCCCGTTTACTTCGTTGGACTCTTTGCTGGTGATGCTGATTTTATCTATGTGAAAATATACCAAAATTCTATCTGGGAAGCCGTATCGAACAACATTCTGTTTATTAAAAGTTTAGAAAAATGTTAAATATATAATATAAGCTTTAAAACGTGACGTTACCGGACTGGTTGGACGTAGTTGGCTTCAGGAGGGTGACAGTGCGCGGTGGAGGTGGTGGTGGCACAACCGGATCCAAGTGTAGACGTATTTTAGATTTTTCCATGGAAGGCCTTCGCACGATACTCGACAAGGAATCAGGCTCGGTGTTTAGATGAGAAGAATTGTCGCTGACATTGCTGGTTGCATACGTGCTTTGCGTCTAGAAAGAATAATTTCAAGCGAAGATTTATAACGAGAAATTACTCGATAAATTATAGAATGTTGAAATTATATTGTTATCCACAAATATTACCTCGCATTCTTCCGACAAGACCTTAATTTTCAGCTCTATAGATCCCGTTTTGGTTTCTCTCAGCGGAAACCAATGGGACTGATCGCTGTTCGACAGCTTTCTGATATCGTCGAGAGTCAGTGATACTTTCCCAAGGTAATCCTTCAAGCCGAAAGTATCATGATCCCATAACAGCTACAAGATCAAATTAAAAAAAAATTATCTCTCTATTTCAGAGATAAAATTTCAGTGCGAGACAAATATGTAATTACGATATCTAAAGCTTCTCCGGTCTTCGGCAAGCCCATGATGGAACTCTCGTCCCAGCAAGGATTCAGCGTCTTCTTCTTTATACTGCTCTTGTATTTCGTCTCGTTGTTCAGTTTCAATTCGCAGAAAGGATCGCTGAAGCCGTTGAAATCCTTTGCGACGAGATCTCTCGCCCGCAACAACGTTACCTCCATCAAGCCGCTTCCGGTGGACAGGAGACTGGATATATCGGAGGAGGCGGGATCGACGTCCTTGTGCGTTAATAGCAGCTTCTAAAAGTATTTTAAGACTTGAGTGAGCACTCACACAGAAATTTTTTTCCGAATAAATGTAGGGTTTCATAACGAACCGCCTGTTGCATCCATGGCAGACTGTTCCGTTTGATTTTCGGTTCGTCGTCCAATGTAGTTGGAACTAGGCTGCTTCTGCGACTGTTCACCACTTGTTGTACACTCTTGATAGGATAAAACAGCACGGAGACAGTCATGGAAGAGGCGATGTTGGAACCATTCAGTGTGAGTTCTTTTCTGACGATCCACGTTGTGTCCTTTAAAAAAATTACTTTCTATTTGGAGACTTTTTGCAACGTTGTAAGGTAATTAACTGTGGCATGAATTAAAGGATTTTAAACAAAAACAAGGTAAGTCTATAATTTGTAAGGTATATTTTAAATACTATTATATCTAAAATATTTCTTGTGATGAGTCGTCCGTTTCGTCAAGAAGAATTTGATTACCTGAGACAGAGATAGCATGGCGAGTCCAAGCATGTCCGTATCCGTCGATTTTACTATATTCCATGAATAAATGACGAAGCTCAGCGACACTTGCGTGTAATCCTGCACCAAAAATTGCGCTCTGCAGTTCCAAACCGGGGACGTGGTCGAGCAAATGTAATGCGTTGTTTTCACCTAAAAATCCACGTAGAACTTTAATATATTCCGCTCAGATTTTATTTTAAAACATTGCAAACGTATTCAACGACATAATAAACTGCGTTTACCTTCTTCCGGTTATTGAACAGCATGCAATAAGGATTACACTGAACAGTATCGCCGTGGAGATTGTCAGCGGAATGAATGTAAACCACCAATACCCCTGAAAATTACGACGCATCACAAGGCGAATATATCTTTGTTTTCAATTCATTACGAAAAAAAATACAACACTCAAAGACTTTCTACAAATTTTCACGGTCTACAAAATTTTAATATAAAAGCGAAAGGTTTAGCGTGCTTGAAAGCTTTACTGTTTGATAAAAGTTTTGATAGTAAAACCATCAAGCGTACGTTTAATTAAACATTATTTGTCAAATTAAATAAAAAAACGTTGCACACAATCATCATGCTCAACTTTCACCACACGACACTTCGATTATTTTACCTGCTTTGTGCGCTTTGTGGTAAGAGTGTCGCGACACTGAAAATATTTCATACGATAATGCTGATCGCGACAAAAAAAATGTAATTCGGATATTTCATAGAAATTATCATTTATCTCACAATTAATGTCAAATTGCAAGTGCTTCTCTCCGTTTCATATATTCTATATTACATTACTAATATTTTTCTTTATATACCTGCAAGATGCATATTATCGGCCATTAATTCTGGCTGCGGTAAGTCGGGGTCCAAGTGCGGCAGAGTGGTGTACTCTAATCGCGCATTGATACTCGGAATGTTAGCACTACTGCGGGACGGTTTCTTTTGTTGTAATACGGTTTCAACGCTGTCGAACAAAAACAAGTAGAATTAACAAGTAACAAGGAAAAAGTAGGCTTTGAGAGTCAAACTAGTTCGTGAATTATGTAACGTTTATAATCTGCAAAATAATCGAATCAGAAATAAAAGTTGCTTAATTGTCCATTTATTTAAAAACGAATGGATTAACGGGGGATGCTAAATTTGGTGAGAAACTCAGTATGCACTCCGATAGCGTAAGGACTGAAAAAAATCGACATGAAATGCTCGGGCGATGTGGCGTAGCGTGCCGTCAATGCCGACTTACATCTGCAAATTCTCCCAGTCGTAGACTCCTAACGCTAACTCGAACTGCGCCAAAGTGATTGTACTAATGAGACGTTTCGCTTTCAGCTTGATGGTGATCCTCTCGTTGTCTAACGGCCCGACCAAGAAAGATACGTCCTCGGTCCACGTTGAGCTCAAGTTCGAGGTGATCCGTTTTTGATCGCCCACCGTTACCACGAGCCATCTCACCTCATCAGCGACGTTCGCTGGCAATAGAGAAACGCCAGTTAAGGACTTTCTAACGAGTTTGTAATAGTTCATAATAATGGTTTGCGCGCCCATTATAACATATACAACAATCGCGTGTTGACGGGAATATTCATAGTGAGTAAAACCATACGTGTTTTAACTACGCTAAATCACGCTAAAAGAAAATTTCACGGTCGATAGCCGTTTCTGTCTGGATCTCAGCCCTAGCCGTATGATTACTCGCAGTTTTGATTCGAAGAACACTCACCAGAACAACCGTTCTGGCACAGGACGATGGTAAGCACTCCTTGCGGCAACGAACTGGTCACAAAATCCAATCCAGGACCCGGTTCCTCCCGCGCCCTCAGGTTCAGCTCCAACTGGCCCGGGTCGACCAGCCAGCTGGCCAGAGCGTCGGTGACCACCGCGTGAATCCAGGTCTTGATCAACGGCATCTCCATCATCTGCACTGCTCGTAGGATTCTTACGCTGAACCAAACGTCCGGCTTCTCCAGAAAACTCACGCTGAGTCCTGTCGCGTGTGGAAACGGCGCCGACGTGTTCAGTGTTAAATTGACGATAATCGTGCCGGACAGCGATAGCTTCTCCACCGCTAGATCGATATCCATCCCCACACTGCCGAGGTATTTGCAAAAAGATTCACAAAATTGTTTTAGAATAGACAATAAGCTAATAAGAAGATAATAAAAAAATCATGAGTAAGATCAGAATGATCTGGTAAAAAAGCAAACTTTGAATATTACAAAATTAAATTAAATTCTTAAATTAAATTCTTATCAAACAAATAAATTGCAATTAATGATACGACAATGTAAAAGTAAACACTGTTAAATTCATCAAATTATCAATTCGAGTCGATTTTTAACTATCCATATAAGTATAAAGCCACCACTGTTTCTACTCAATATGTCGTTAATGTAACTAAAACAATGTTAATTTAACTAAACCAATGGAGTTAAAATAATACTGTTTTATGTTAAATAATAAATTTTGACACACGCGGTGTGTCGAAGTTAAAAATTGCAAAACGTTATTTAACTCAAGGTATTGATTTAAATGACATCCTTTAATATTTAACAGTGAATATTTGCGTTGACGATAATATTTGCGACTTTGTTTGGAAAGTTCTCGAACGGTTTTTAATACGGTGAATGCTTTGTTCCTCACCCTTTACCAAATAACCGCGTGGTGATGAGCATGCGGAATTGTTCGCAGTCCAGCCGCAGGTCCGCTTCGATGGACAATTTAGTCTGGTCGAAGTGATGGTCATTGGGAAGATCGTCATCGCTGCAGCAATCGAGTGTTCTGACGCGAGTGATGCACGGCGTCTGTTCGCCGAGAGTGAGTTCGCGTAATTCTAATGGACCTGAAAAACGAGTATCTCTTCTAGAGTCACAATTAAGCCGCTAAACGACGAAGTAATTTGGAATCCTTCGAGTGATGATTAATTTCTTTAGCCAACTTTTTTGCGCTCTCTCTCTCTCTCTCTCTCTCTCTCTCTCTCACTCACTCAGCAGAAGCAGACGTGTGAAACATCGCTCCGTAAAAGTGTTAATTTTTGAGTGGTTTAGAAGTGAGGGAGAGTGTTAAAAAGTTGTGTAACGTATATCTGCATAGACCGGGGGTAGCCATGAGTGTTATCTAGCCGGAATATGTTGATACATAGACACGAGAACTGCATTTCGTTCAGAGGTCATCGAAACCTCGTACGACAGGTAGACATCGACGGCGAACACAAAACGCTGACGTGTGAAAGTGACGTGTTAAAGTGACGAGTCAATTAACTGTCTCTGCGGATATTAGCATAATGAACGAGGAATACGCCGAGTATCGATGCTCGGCATGTAAGAAGCCGATAAAAACGGAGGTGATAGCATGCAAGTCCTGTGCCAAGCTTTTCTACCATCCAGGTTGTGTATCTAAGCACAAAATTTATGATAGAAACCGCGAGTTGGTGTCGTGTCCTGGCCCATTCGAGAAATTAATTATTAGTGATGGTGATAAAGTAGCTGATATAAATAAAGCAGTGGCAGCAGCAGAAAGAGCAACGGCACCTGCAAAAATGAGTCCGGCGCCAAGCAGCGGGAATAAAGTAGCAGCCGCGAGTGATATTGATAGAAAAATAGATTGGCTTGTAAAAACAGTGAAAGAATTAAAAGATGAGGCAGCATGTAAAAAGGAGATCAAGTCAATGATAAAAGAAATAGTCCGTGAGGAGGTGGGAGGCATTAAACAGAAAATAGAAGAATTGAGAAAAATGTTGACGCAAGGGGCATATGGATCGTCAGGTGGAGCGACAAGAAAATATAGCGATGTGATTAAAGAAAGGAAGGAAGAAAATATCTTGATTATAAAACCAAAAGTACAACAAGAGAGTGAAATTACGAAGAAAACAATTAAAGATAAAATTGATATAACCAAGATGGAAATAGGAATTACCAAATTAAGAAAGGGAGGTAAAGGGACAGTGATCTTAGGATGTGAGTCGAAAGAAGAGAAGGATAAGCTAAAGGCGACGGTACAAGCGGCAATGGGCGAGGAGGTCAAGGTCTCTGAGCCACAGAAGAGGAAACCAAAGATTAAAATAATTAATGTTGGTGGAGAAGAAATGAAAATGGAGGATGATGAACTGATAGATACAATCAAGAAGCAGAACAGAATTGGCGAAGAATCCTGTATGCACCTAGTGAAGAAAATATTAAGAGGAAAAAGTAAGGATACTGAGCAAGGATCCGTAATAATTGAAGTGGATGAAAGCACTCATAATTCACTAATAAACAGAGGAAAAATAAATTTAGGATGGCGAAAGTGTCCTATATTTAATTATATTAGTGTTAGAAGATGTTTTAAATGCTGGGGCTATTACCATATTGCCAAAAATTGCACGAGACAGGAAACATGCTATAAATGTGCAGGAAATCATAAGGCGAATGAATGTACGACGGCAAAGAAGAGGTGTGTAAACTGTACCTATAAGAATCAGACGTACAACTTGAAGATAAATGTTGAACACGAGGCGCTAGATTCGGAATGTCCGACATTTAAGAAAGTATTGGAGGAAGAGAAAAAAGAGCCGGCTGGGAAGATGCAAAATAGCAACCACAGGGAGAAGCGGATTTACTCTGGTATACGAATGCACAAAGCTTCTTGGCGCATAAGGACGAAATTCAACATCAGATTATGAAGAGGGTGAATCCTGTGATTCTAGCGTTATCCGAGACTAGATTGACTGTAGAAATTGAGGATAGTGAGGTCAATGTACCGGGGTATAGTATAGTTAGATGTGATGCTGAAAATAGAAGCACAGGAGGAGTACTGTTATATGTTAGGGATGATATTAAATTTAAAATAGTTGATAAGAAAAAGATAGTGTCAAATTGTTGGTGCGTGGTGGTAGAAATAAGAAAGAATTTGTATAAAGGTATGATAGCAGTAGTGTATCATTCGCCGAGTGCGTCAAATGGCGATTTCGTGAGATTTTTGGAAAATACGGTTGAAGATTTAATAATAAAGTATGACTGTATAGTGATAGGGGACTTTAATATAGATATAATGGTAGATTCATTTTACACAAAGAAATTATTAATGGTAATGCAAAACCTAGGGATGAGGCAATACGTTGATTGTCCAACGAGAGTTACAAAAGATAGTCGAACGATGATAGATTTAATTTTTTCGAATAAAGAAATAAAGGTACAAGTGAATGAGAAACCTAAAATCACGGACCATACATGGCTAAAAGTAGAATTTAATATAAATAAAAATAGAAATAAATATAAAGAATTTAGAGGCAGGGACTATAGTAAATTTAATGTAGATGAATTTCTTACAATAATGGAAGAAAGAACTGAGCAAGGTCAAGGGCTAGATGTAAGCATAAGGGCGGAGAGATTTGTTAATAGTATAGTAAGTGTATTGGATACTGTAGCACCTAAGAAAAAGTTTAAGATTCCGAAAATATGGGAAGGGAAAATGTGGTATTCAGATGAAATTAGAATGGCAGCAGATAGAAGGGATGAGGCTCACAGTAGAGCAATAAATTCAGGTAAAGAACAGGACTGGGAATTTTTCAAAAATGAAAGAAATGCAGTAGTTAAACTTATCAGGGCAAAAAAGAAAGAATATTATGAGAATATGATAGATAATAATAGGAGTGATCCTACAAAAATGTGGAAAACGTTAAAAGAATTAATTAAAGGTGAGTAAAGGGGTTCAGAGAACATCGATAATGTAGATTTTGAAATATTAGAAGACATAGAAGAATGCAATATAGCTGATAAATTTAATATATATTATGTAAAAAGTATTAGCAACATTGTGCAATCTATTAGTAATGTAGAGAGAGAACTTTGTTAGAGAGCTTGTGTGGCTTGTGAGAGAAAATTCTTATTTTTCGAGTAATTGGCAGGCTTGTCTCCTGTGTGGTATGAGTGTGTGCGGGCAGAGTTCGTTGAGATGTGCTTAGCGACACGTGCGTTCTTGAGAAATCCCGAATAAAGATATCATTCCTTACATATCCGTGCCTTATTTACGCATCTTATTCAGTTCAAGTTTGGACAAGTAATAAGGGGATAGAAGGCACGGGTAGGAGACCTATTTATGTAATTGAGAATAAGGGAATTATGGAAAATTTTGAGCCAATTAGGGCACGTGTAGGGGCGTGATTTGGAACAAATTGTTAGGGAATTACCACGAAAGAACGGAACAGAGGAAGGGATAAGTAGTGATATATTAAGAATGGTGCTACCTATGATAAAAGATGAGTTTGTAGGGGTAATAAATGATTTGGTTAGGACAGGTAAATTTCAAGGTCGGTATATGACGCGTGTAGCGTCGCTACCGACGCGTCATTTACCGACCTTGGTAAATTTCCAGAAGGATGGAAAACATCCACAATAAAGCCCCTTGCACAATGCCAGGCAACAGGCAATAGGAACAGGGAATAGAAATCAGAAATCATGTATAAATGCAGAATAAACAGTGACACAGGCAATAGACACAGAGTTTCCGTCACGTTGGAAATTCTGTGTCTATTGCCTGTTGCCAACCAATCATAGCATTCGAATCTTTTAGGTTGTAATTAACGATTTTTTGGTTATTTCCTGTTCCTATTGCCTGTTGCCTGGCATTGTGCAAAGGGCTTAATACCGATACCAAAGGTAAACAAACCAAAAAAAGCGAGCGAGTATAGACCGATTAATATGTTACCGATATATGAAAAAGTATTAGAGTTAGTTGTAAAAAAACAGTTGGAAAAATTTCTAGATGACAATGAAATAATAACCAAATACCAATCGGGATTTAGGAAACAGCAGTCGTGTGAGACAGCAATTCAAAGTTTTATCGAAGAATGGAAGTTGATAATTGAGGAGAAAAAAATGGTGGGGGTGTTATTCCTGGATCTCAGGAGAGCGTTTGAGACAATAGATAGAGTAAGATTAGTGGAAAAATTATATCAGTATGGAATAAGAGGAGTGGTACTGGAATGGATAATATCGTATTTAAGTAATAGAAAGCAGCAAGTTAGATGCAATGATATGTGTTCTAAAATAATTGAGACAGTATATGGCGTGCCACAGGGATCAGTATTAGAACCTCTATTGTTTATTTTGTATATAAATGATATAGTTAAAGTCTGTCCGGAGGGAAGTATATTTAGATTATTTGCAGATGACACGACCGCAAGTGTAACAGGAGAAACAGAATAATAAATTTTTTTTCGCCAGTATATAGAATAACAATTA